GAGAGAGAGAGAGAGAGAGAGAGAGAACTTTGAAACATTGACCAAAAGTCTTACATTAACTTTTCCTAGATACTTAATTAATAACTTATAAATAAAACGGACATTAATCCTAGATTTGAACTCCAAAAAGAATTATACGGCATATTATAACTATATAGATCATTTAAGAACTCTGAAAATTTTAAATTTAAATAACTATATAGTGAGGACAGTATTTGGAACCGAGAAAAATCATGAATTTAAAATTTAGATTTAGAATAATATTAGAAAATAAAATAAATATATTATTTACTTAATGAAAGAGCGTGACTGTGAACCGACCGGAGATTGGCTCTAAAAGTACGCGACTCGATCGATCTCCGGCCTCCTCTATATCCCGTCGGATCGCCCTCCATCTCTGCGCTTCTTCTCGCTGGATTCCGGTTAGTCTCCTCCTCCTCCTCTTCCTTTTCTTAGGCGTGCTGATTTGATCCGTGATGATTCTAGTACGGTTCGGAGATGCCCTGCTCGAGCTTGATCCATCCGGGTCGATCGACCTTGTAAACCTTCAGAACGACGCTCTGCCGGGAGGCAGCAGTGTTGTCGGGACCGGGATATTCTCTTTCTAATTCCTAGCGAAACCCTAAGTTGGATCATGTTGTGGATAATCATGACGGAACCCTAGCTTGATCATGTTGTGGTTCGGAAAAGGTTTCTTTCTCCTTGTGTTTTAGAGCTTAAACATAACTAAGATTATGGAAACTAAGGCAGACGTGTTATGGCCTAAATCGATCTAGGCTATCGGATGATGTCTACCCAGTTCAAGGTATACTGAATGTGTAGTTCGTATTGGACGATTGATTCTTCGAGAAGGGGCGATTGGTTGCTTCGAAGTTGGAGTTGGTTTTCGGAATTGTGTGATGAAAAATATAGCACAACAGTTTTTTTGTTTTCCTTGTAATGCTATGCTATTCATCAGTGATGATTGATAAAATGCGACTACAATGTGATTCTGTTGATCGTGGGCATGGTGGAACTCTGTGCTTTAATACTTTATCTGGAAGGTGAAATTGCTTTTGTGTTCTGCTGCCTGCAATTTCTGGTAGGAAAAGGATAGCGCAGCACTTGATTTGCAGTTGTAGCAAACATTAGCGGCATATCTAATATGGAAACATACTTTGGACAAATTTATTTACCTAACTTCTAATGGCTTCACAAAGTATTACTTGTAGTCCTCACATAACAGCTACTTGTAGAGATGTCAGAGACAATGGACAGGATATGTATCTCAATGCTTAGAATTTTGATTGGAAAGATGGATGGCTTGTGAGTTGGGAGTTGTCTGACGAGATGAACTCCTTCGATGACCAATATAAATCTTCCTTTAAGATGAACCTTTCAGTGATACCATAAAAAGTATTCATTCTCAGATCCTGGCTGATGATGTAGTTGTTAAAATCTTACTAAAAAAATCGCTTCAAATGTTGGAAACCAAGTTAGTTGTTGAGCTTTGATGAAGAATAAATGCACTAATGATTTTAGTACTCGTATCATATCTACTATGCATGTATTATAGGCTGTCTCATCTTTTGTCACTCTTTCTCTGGTAGTGGATTTAGCTTTAATAACATTTATGGATGCTTTTTAATGGGAAATGATCTGGCAATGATATTTTTGTTTCATGAATACGTATCTGGGACTACTTGATCCCCAAAAGCATTATTTGTTTACCACACTCATCTTTGACATTTATACCAAACAAGTCGATTGTTGAATTATTCAAATGAAGAGTGGAATCATCAAGTGTCTCTATTAATTGCTTTATAGTTAGTTTCTGAAAATTGAGAAGAAAATTACGAAATTGTATAAAAATATTGGTACATAACCTCTATGAGAATCTAACCCTAGCACGAGACCATCACAAGATAAATTAATCATGTATCTAGCACAAGACCATATTAACCCTGCTTGTATTTCTGTCCATGCAAAATGTTAGATGAACTATTCTGCAGGTTTTAAAAGTTCATTTTGTCTTTTTCTCATGTTCTAACTTGGTATAACAAGGCTACTTTTATTCAGATTGCTTGTTGATCATCAAACTTTGTAGAATCTGACTGAAAATAATTATTGGATGACAGGAAAAAATGGACAAGACTTCTCATTTTGCGGTTCATGCTGATGCTTCATTTGCACTTCGCGGTATGTGCAGTACATATAATTAACCATATGATATGGTTTTGATTCCTGTAGATTGAAATTTCATAAGAATTGTGAATTTCATGATGATCCAATGCTCCCCTAAAAATGGTTGCATCTTTTTATGTGAATCAATGTGTGCCAGAAACCGAGACCTGACAGACTGTTTCATTTATCATATATCCATAATGGGTTACAATCACTAAGCACATCCATAAGCAGGAAAAGTTACGGGCATAAAATTTGCATGCCACTTGTATGGGAAAATATAGATATGGTGTATGCTTGATAGTTATGCATTGGTAATGTTTCTTTAACCAAGCAACACTGTGGCCTCTGTGGTGACTTCAGCCAGCTACCAATATCATGCTTGTGTTGTTTATCTTCATTAATGGATTGGTCTCTGTATGCTTGCATAGTGTTTACCGTGGATGCCTTCAGCCCTTGGAAATATCCATGGAAAGATTTTCTTCAATATGGATGTGACAAAGCTCTATTTCCAACATTTTCAGGCTTTCTTAGTGGTACTTCAGTATACTCAAGGATGGATGGGGGTTGCCAGAAACAACAAAGTCTGGAGCCACCTAGGGGCTGTGGAACCGTAATGAAGCTTCCTTATGGCTGTAGTTTTCTCCCAGAGAATTCTCAGCCAATGAGCTCAATCCATGGAAGCCGAGGCATCCATGTAACCCGCACCTTGTCTGAATCCACAAGAGGAGTCGTTTCAAATCGTCCCTTATCTCCTCATCTTCCAGTGAAGAAGCCACAGCTGAGGGCAACGTTCTCGATTTCCCATCGGATATTTGGAGCTTCTCTGGCATCTGCTATATTGTTGATTCCCATTGCTTGGAAGTTCAGTCTCCTACTCGACGTGTGACGCTCGTGATCGATCACTCATTGGTGTCAATTCCAGTGCAAACAAAGCTTTTTTTATCAGCATTACTACCCAGAAGTGAGGGAACATGAACCTGTTTTATCACTATGTTGCTTGAAAAATCATCCAAAAACAATTAAGAACCAGCTGCTGGAGCAAATTCTGATTGCAGTTTTCCTGCATTATAAGGTAGTCTTTATCTTCACTTTATTCTGAGCTGATTTAGTTGTTGATATTGACCAATATGCTATCTGTGGTATGCTGTAGTCGACTTCTTGTCATGTTAGAGAACCAGGAGGTGTCCATGCTTGGTTTCCTGCAATTCATTTTTCCCATAATTCACTATTTTCATTTTAATTCAGTTATATGATTCATCATTTATTTCTGTGATAGTGCATGCTGTTACTTTTATTCATGATGATGATGGAAAAGAAAATTGCAAATGCAGACTTAAGCAGTGAAAGCTAATTCCTGCTTTTTTCATATGGTATTTCCAAGTATAAAGGCTGTGTGTATCCATTTACTAATAGAAAACATTCCACTGACTTGGACTCAGATATTGAGACATTGAATTCGCCATTGAGCTTTCGGAGAAAAACATGCTTCTATTGTTAGTATTTGAGATTACTGGTCATCAATCATAAATCTTTTTAGTTGTAAGTTTGAATTCTGAAGCATCTACTTTCTATTTCATCGAGTGTTTCTTTAATATTCATGCGGCGTCCTCTCAATTTGGATTAGTTTCATATGTCAAATCTGATCCAACTTGCATGTTAGAGAGGATGTTAAAATTTAATATAAACTAGATTTCTTTTAATAGCTTAATCTTTTAGGATTGTTGGCCATGTAATAAAAATCTTTACTATCTATTCTGGAAGTGTAGTTCTAGCTTGCTTATAGGATTTAATCTTTTTGGGACATTTAGTTTTTGTTTCCTTTTAAGACTACCATTACTTTTGTTCAGGGGAAATGAGTTCTGCTGAGAAAGCTTTAAGAAACTTTTTCCTCGGATGAGGTCTTTTTCTACAAATTTATTGCACCCATCAGAGCCGACGATTTCTTTGGTATTCATGAACATTAAGAGTATTGCTGGTCTTTTTTTAATATATATTTTTAATTAGTTTGAACAAACTAATTTCTTTGGTAGATATTATATTTGAAGGAATTTATATGCTGCACTAAAATTGATCGTGAGAATACCAGTTGTCAACTTTGATTGTCGGTTAGTCCGATATGTTTGAGTGTAATCCGACCCGGCCCACTTTCAAAGGAAGACATTCGTCGAGGTCGAAAACTCGGCATGCATGGATGCGAAACAGGGTAAAGTGGCTAAACTCGAGATGCCAAAGTGGCATAGAGCTATTGTCAGGGCAGCAGAAAAAGACTGTTAGATTCTGTTGATGCTCAAATTAATTTTGATCATCCTGTATGGAAGGAGGCTCTTTTTTTATCATACCCATCAGAATGGAACTCAATGGAGGATCGAATTAGAATAATTGGGAATCGATTGGTTCTATTATGTTAACAAATTGAAATGGATTGGTTTTTGGACAACTGATTATGTATCAATCAGATTAAATTAAAACGTTCATGTTTTGTACCTATCTTGTCTAATTATAAATTATCCCCAGTAGTTATATCATATTGATTCTTGGATTTAAAAAATTTATATTTAAATTCTTATAGTTATGAAAGTAAAATATTTAGATTTATTCATCTTAATATCGTCAGTTTTATCAATAAAAATTAAAAAAAATTAGTAAAAAAATAATTTTAATTTTCAATTGGTAGTGACCAATGATATCGGTGGTGGCGAACGACAGCATCGCTAGGGCCGCGAGTAATTGTTATGGATGATGAGAGCAACGACAAGAGATGAAAGTCATTTTGTATTTGCGTCGATATCGACGCAATTGTTGAGCGGTAAAAGGGTCATCAATGCAAATGTTGAGCGATCCTTTCGTAGCTTGATAATTGCGTCAACGCCAATAATGCAGGGTGACGAAAGGATCACTCATTATGTCAACGTTAACGTAGTTGTCGAGCGACGAAAGAGTTGCTCGGCATCTGCATCGACGACCCTTTCGTCGCTTGGCAACTCTATCGATGCCGACACATATGTAGAGTGGTGAAAAGGTCATTCATTACGTCAGCATCAATGCAATTGCCAAGTGGCGAAAGGGTTGCTCGACATTTGCATCGAGAGACCTTTCATCGCTTGGTAACTACATCGATGTCGATGTAGTGAATGGCCCTTTTATCGCTTTGCATCTGTGTTGATGTTGACATAGTTGTTGAAACTTATCTCTTATCGCTGTTCTCCTCATCCACAACAATTACCCGTAACCCCCAACTGCGTCGTTATCCGCTACCATCAATTGAAACATTGAAATTATCTTTTTCCGCATTGTTTTCATGTTTTTTTGTTGATAGAACCAATTACGTTATGGTAAATTAACCTAGATATTTTACTTTCATAATTATAAAAATTTTAATATAAATTTTTTAAGTATAAGGATTAGGATGCTAAGGATGTCTAACTAATAATCTATAATTAACCCTTCCTCTTCCACGGGGTAAAAAAATTTATTTTCATGATAATAAACATACATTTTGATCTCCAAGAAATTCAAGTATCTATTATTTAAGACATGACAGTTGGGTAAAATATATCTTTTATATTGTTGAACCATTTATTTTGAGTTGGATTAATATGTCAATATAATCATGTGTCATTTAATCCGGATAAAGATTCATGTGTATTGCATTTGTTGATGTTTTTACTTTTTATAATATTTTATATTGTTGAAGTTTCATTTTCACCGGTGTATATATATATATATATATATATATATATATATATATATATATATATATAGTGCATTGTCCCTAACTTCATATCACGAGGAAAGACCAACCTCAACAACGTTTGAATGATACTGAGGATGTAGCACGCAAAACAAAGGCAGAGGCTGAAGCTATAGCGATTCAAGAAGGGGTTTTAAACAGGGCCAAAATTGAAAAACCATATGTTAAAGAGATACCTAGAAATGCAGATGTTAGGCTCGCAGCATTGCATTTGTCTACATGAATTTTTGTCACCTCCATAAATAAGTAAATGAATTATTGTTTCAGAACAACTAAAAAAGATTATTTACTCTTTCATCTACACATGGATGAGAGGTGTGTAACAGCACATGTAAAAAACATAATTCACCATCAAATGTAAACTTGCCACACCAAATGACAAACTTGATTAAACGTACCAGGGTTCATATACTCTCTAAATTGACTGGTAAAAGGCATCAGCTATTTCCTCACCGTGAAAGAAAATAAGACCCAAGGACAATAAATAGGGACATATACATGGAATACATTCAGGTATACAAGAACTGCATGACCAGCTATAGCTAAATGAGCTACTCCTTGAAAAATTAAAACATAAGGAGATAACTCTTAGTTGTAGCAATTTGAATAATGAGAAAATCTTGCTTGTTCATACTCAACACAACAAAGTCAAAATTCTATCACCACAATCACACAAGCCCAAAGGAGCAAAGATTACCTTATTCCTCGAGGTTTGGATCAGTCGAAGAATAACACACCGGATTCTGAATCAGCCTCTCTTCCAAAAATCTAAGATACAGCTGTAAACTTCAAGTCGAGGGGCCTCAGGGCTCCCTGAACTACATCTTGAACCGTCCTACTGCGTCGGCAAACATCCGAAAGCTCCTCGAGTGTTTCTGTGAGGGCAGAACTCTCTGATCCCGATGCAGCATCAGAGAGAGCTTTAAGGAAGGTAGAAGATTCAGCCTCCGTGAGGGCAGTGTGTGGTATAAGTGAGATACTCTCCTTTGCCCACACCAAAACCCTGACACCATATGTCCTGGTTAGCGACAACAGGACGTATGTCACCTGTGGCAACAACATACACCGAAGAATAGCATATTTAGCAAAATTGCTATTAAAAATTTTCATTCCAAAAGAATCATGTGGTGCTATATACCTCCTCTAATCGAGAAGACGGAAGTGCTCCGGTTAGAGATGCAATCAAAATTCTGGTAAGAGTAGCACCACGAGGAATTATTGTACCATTTATTATGGACTGGTACTTTTCTCCAGCCGAAGAATTTGCAAGGTCAAAGACATCAGATAGAAAGTTCAATAAGGACTTGCAAGCATCTCTGAAAAAGAGACAAAACAGAAGTTAATAGGAAGATTGGTCTCTCCAACAAAACAAAAAAGTCCACTAATAAATGTGGATGCACATGATACCTGTGCTGTATAGTAATCCCAACCATCGAGCAGTCAATTAGATATGGAAATATAGAAGAGAGCACAAACAAATCAGGGCAATAGCGAATGCATCTTGAAGCCAACAGAAAACAGTCATCCGCTATGTCTGGTCTCGCAGTAAAATCCTGCATTACAAGGAAGCAAGGGAAATCTTAGTGGTTATATTAATTAGAGGTATAAAAACATGTCACCTTGCAAGAGTATGTAACACAAGGGAATCAAGAAAATTTAGTACTTGAATAGTTGTAAGAAGCTTTGTTGTATGACTGAAAAGTGACTCGATCAAATTTCTAAGGTAGTCGGCACAAGAGGGATCTGATCCAAACATCTGCCATTCAGGAAATCCATCAATAATAATAACATGAAAAATGATATTAAAAGGTAGTACTGACATGCACAAATACCATACCTTTATAACTTCACTTGACAGATAAAGGAAGCAAGGTTGATTATGCTGCAGATACAAGACTTGAATCTCCTCAAGCATTGAGCCAATGGTAACTCCCATGAATCTTCCACAGGTTCTCACCTTTAAATCAGTAAAAGTCGCAATTACTAAATCTAACATGATGTAAATTACAAAGAATATTAATATGCAGTTGATCCATAGGCAGACAAACAAAAATATAGAAGTAAAGCAAATTAAATAATTCAAAAACAGATGTGGAATCAGCAAGATTTTAAGAGAATAAAATATTAGTAAATGGTAAATGGAAAATTCATGCAACGTTTAAATTCATACAACAGCTAAATAATTCAAAAACAGATGTGGAATCAGCAAGCTTTTAAGAGAATAAAAGATTAGTAAATGGTAAATGGAAAATGCATGCAATGTTAAATTCATACAACAGCAAAATTAGAGCCATTCTTAATGCACGTATAGGCGAAGGTTTGAGTGGAAGGGTTCCAATTGGGCCATATTGCTCAACACATATCTAATTAAAGTATTATCGACATGGAAAAGATAAACCAACATCCAACCAATTTATTTAATATAAATAGATACCAACAGATCAACCAATTTACAAAACAAAATATCACTTTACTAATTGAACTTCAAACAGAAACAGGCAGACGGAAAAGAGAGTATTGATTCAATGTCCAAGTCTGCAGGCCTTCATTTCTTTAGACAAAAATGCTTGTCTCAGTTTTTAATATTACAAAGTCAAACACAGATACGGTCCCATGTAGTAACATTACAAACTGGATTGCTGTAGTACGAACTCTGAAAAGTCAAATTCAAGATTCTAAATTATCAACATTATTCAATTTTAAAAATGTAAACAAATAATATTCATATACATTCCTACTATAAAGTCCTTTAGGAAAAGCTAAATAACAAAAGCACTAAACAATAAAACAAACCAATAAATTCATAATTTGTGATCTGCTATTACTGTAATTCAATATGAAATATAATGAACCAACTAATTCTATACCACAACCAAGAACCAAGTTCGTTGGCATACCATGTACTGAACCCTTACTACAGCCTAGAATATTCCAGATTGCAGATAACTATAATAAAGCAATATTAGAACTATATTCAATCAGCTAACAACTTCGTCTCCTTCATGTTTATCAACATGAAGAAAAGAGGATATCATAGCCAAAACTTGTTGCCAATCAACCAAGAACCAAGTTCGTTGGCATTCCATGTACTGAACCCTTACTACAGCCTAGAATATTCCAGATTGCAGATAACTATTATAAAGCAATATTAGAACTATATTCGATCAGCTAACAACTCTTATCAATCTTTCAGATCTTCCTCAACATCTTTCAGATCTTCCTCAACACCTGTCGCGGTGCATAAAGGGAGGTGCATGTGGGCAACAGTAACTTGGGTGGTGGGAAAATGAATTGAGTTATGAGGACGAAGAGGAGATGGAAGAGTCACTTCAGGTCAGAGACTGGGTGGGAGGGAAAAGAGCGGGTTAGAGGAGAAGATGGAGGTATGAAAAGATTAGAATGAATTTGGGCAGGGAGCTAGGGGA